ATGATTCAATGCAGAGAAGTCTATTAATACATAGTGAGTGAGAAAGGTGACTGGAAAGGAAAAACTCAATGCATCACCAATTCACCAGTAATAACTTGGTGAAGTTCTGTCATTTTCCAGCAAATGCATAGCAGGTGTGCAAAGTGCTTTGTGATTTTTCTGCTTCACAGTAAGAAGAGAACTAGTCGCTGTTACTGTAAAGCACCTGTAAAAAATAATAAGTGGATTAAACTTAACATTGCAGACATGCAGGACTGTGTCGTCTCACACTTGTGGTCCTTACATCAGAGATGTTTGTGTCTAAGCACAAAGACATTCCTGGAAAGCTGAGCAGGGATCACTATCTACGATCATAGTGTGGTCTAACAGGACAAAGAAATAAGGTCAACCAAGTAAGAAATGACCCAACACAGTTGGTAGGAAAGACTCAGAGCATCTGGTGGCTCGGTGTTAAAAGCATAAACGTAGTTATAAGAAGACTGAGGGGAATGAGTCATTGTTTAGTGCTTCAGTGACAACAAGAAGCCCAGTTTCAAAATATATAATTGGGTTTGAGTGTTGGTTTCTTGAGTATACGAGCAATTTTGTTTTACTTGAGGACGATACAGCCAGATGTGAAACAGAACAGGAAGTAAGGGAGTAGAAATGGGACTGTTAACCAGTGCTGAGAGATCAATTTGGAGAAGGATCAGTCAGCTAAGTTAGTTAGAAGATGATGGAAGAAGTGTTAAGGAAAGCCGTCATTGGGGACCATCTCTTCTTAGAATAGCTGACAGAGTCCTCACGAATAGACATTAAGAGGAAGTAAGTGAAAGAAGACTTTGGATCGAGTGCAGAGACAGATGCTTCTTTGTTTTAAAATAACAGGTATAAATGAGACTATGAAAGCTTTCTTTTATATCCACAGCAGCTGAAAACCAACAACCTAGCTAACACAAAATGAAAAAAGTAAATAATTTTGATGCCGATGGCTTATAAATTAAACTTGGTTGAAAGACTAACTGACCTAATGCTTTATGGAGTATTAAAAGAGGCCCATTAACCATGACATGAGACAAAATTTGTTTTCAAAGAACATAATTTGTATTATCTGTTTTTTGTTTGAATCCAACACCAGCAGATATGTAGAATGACAGAGAGGGAACAGAGGATTCTCAAAGTCACTGAACTGAAAAGAGCCAGGCAACTACAGCATAATATGTTTATTTAAGCTCAGTCTCAATGTAATGGAGCTGTAATACAAGTTGAATTATGTCGTGCAGCCAGTGTCCTGGCAGAAAGGTAAGGTAAAAGTAAACTACATCAAAGTTTTTTCACTCTTCTTTATAAAGTACTCAGTTGTCATGTCCAGGTTTGTGAAACAAGCCATATAAGCCATTTCCCAAGAACAAGATAAAAGAAATTATTGGTTTTAATTAAATGTCCCATACTAGCAGTAGCTGTCAGGAATCAGGCAGGTCGTTTTAGCTTCTTGTATAGCTCTTGTACAGAACTTTTGCTCTGTTAAAATGTTTAAAAAAATCATAATCTACTTTTTTCTTTATGTGGACCAAAGAACAAATGTTAAAAAGCTGCATGACACAGAGATTTCCAATTAAAGTAAAGTCAATACACTACGTATATATGGCCGTTGATTTGACTCTCATTTCTCAGTGTCGTCATTAGTGAGAGTGAATTTGATACCACTCGCCTGGAGACATGAGAGGAAAGAGGATGGAAATGTGTAAGTGAATGGACATTACATGTTAGACATGGGAGACAGTTGAGGGAAGACGATATTGGTACTACAGTGTTACAGCAACAAGTCGCAAAATATACTGCAAAGATACACTTTAACAAAATGGCACAAAAATACACTAAATTACAGTAATATGTTCTTTGTAAACAGAGCTAAACACTGTAAAAGGATGCTGCTGCTGTACAACCCACAGTACAACACAAATTAACAAAAAAATCAATCAAGTCATTTCTGTTTATTGATTCAGGCCATAATTAATTGCCAAATTATGCTGCATGTCCCACTACCTCACGCGATGTAAAGAAATTAAGAAACAATGTTTGTTGATTACACAAAAGAATAATAGGGGTTTAAAGATTTATTGATCTACAGTATTTAAACACATATCACATTTTCATAACATCTTGTTATGGCGATTACAGTGGAAACAGTAAGAGTGTAATAGTAAGAGTTAGCAATATTAAACTCAATGACCTCGCTCTGTAACTTTCTGTGTTCTGACACTTGGCAGTTGCTGTGGTTCCAAACTGAAAAATATCATTTACACTTAATTGCAGGATATCTAGGAGTGAAGAAACTTCTTGAAGAACTTGAAGAAACTGATTTGTTGCAATGGTGGAATCCTATTATAGCACCACACTCAAATTCAGCAAGCTCTTTAGAACAAACCATTCTTTCAAAATGTTTTGAAGGGCAGACTGCATGGACAGGTCTTTGACTAACTGTAGCAATGGGACTAAAAAAACCTGAATTCAAAGATTAAGACGTGTGGCCCATATAGTGTATGCTAGTATCGATGATCACAACAGACAAATAAGCTACTTTGCTGTACTGAATTAGTGG